GTAGTAGTAGTAGTATTTATTTATTTATTTGTTTGTTTATTTGTTTATTTATTTATTTTAAATTTTAGAAAAAGCAGAACCACAGAGGTCCCAATCTGCAGAGCAGCTAAAACAAAAAAAGAATAAAATTTAACTTGATTTTCTTTCACACCTCAGCTGCTGTCTTCTTCCATGCTGTTAAAGAAGAAGTTATTTAACACAGCGCTATAATGCAAATACTTGTTTCAGTRCATAAAGTCCTGATATGAAATACTGTCATTTGTAAAAAGAGTAAACATAAAATTAAGCTGATAATAAAGTAATATACTGTAGGTACATCAATCTGTAAGGTCAGAACAGTCCAGATCAGATTTTATTTTTATTTCACCAAATGTATCAAACTGAGTGTTTCATATAACACACTCAGCTGGAATTCATTATTTCCCAAAACTATCAGTTTACTTTATAAACACATAAAATCACCAACAGAAGCTGCGTGTAAACGGGTAAAGCAGCTAATATTTACTGCAGTTTATTTGCCTTTTATAACGTCATCATCCTCCCACACTTTGACTGAAACCACAAATGTATTTTTCACATTAACTGGTTCATRTATAAGCTGTGTGAGATCTGAGCACAGATATACTGTCTGAGCAGAATGTAATGACTTCCACATCCTGCAGAAAAGCTGAAACCCAGGCCTCTGCTGCGCGTGAGCAGCAGGAGTCAAACAAAAGCTGCCTGCGGTTCCCTCTTCCACCACTAGAGGAAGTCTAGGATCGTTCTGGAGACGCCGTCCCATCCCAAAGAGCCAATCCTCTKGAGTCTTTGTTACATCATGTCAGTGATGGATATACACACATGTTTATTTAATGGGAGCTCCATTCAAAAACTATTCAAACACCTCGGAGCACCTCACTTCAATTTAGCGCCTGACGGATTGATAAAACTCACATTTTCTGAAATCTTGTTTCAGTAAACAACTATTTCTTTGTGATTTTTTTCAGGAAACCGGCAGTGGTCAGAGTAAAGCTTGATTTATATCATCTGTTGTGAATCTTTCTGTGTCATTAAGACGGAAGAAGCAACGATTTAATAACAAAGACCTGATGTCAGAAAATAGCTCTGCGGTTAATGATGTTTCCAGAATGAGAGAGCGGTCTGCAGGTCACATGTGTGTGTTTACCTTTGAACTCGGCAGCGCTGGGGTTAATGTGCATCCTCTTCTGACACTCTCCACAGCTCATTAGGAACCGAGTCACCGCCTCTCTGGGCAGGAAGGCATAGGTCTCTGCGATCTGTGCCAGGAGGGAGAGCAGACAGGGTTAGGGCAGCCAGATCWGGCCCAGCCTGCTGCCGGAGCAGAGCACAGGTTGTGTTCAGGTGATCTTTTGTTTGTTTGTTTTGTTTTTTTCATTAATGCGCGGCACATGTGTGGGAGCTGAGGGGTCAGGTTTATGAGTTATCTCAGCTTGACGCGAGGAGGACTCCTCCCTTCAGCCCCGTTTTCGGGGTGCGTTTGAATTTCCGCCGCAGTCCACTCCACATATTTTCACGGCTCAGAGACATCTCTCCTCCTGCTTCCTCAGGTGCAGCCGGCTCACAACTACCCCCCCCCCACCCCCACACACACACACACACACACTCAGCCTCTCCTCTCTGTTTGTCTCACTCCGCCGTGCCACCATCCCCTCATCACCCCCTCTGGCGTTTCCCTGTACACCGCGACCTTCACGTGACCATGGAGAGGCAGCGGGAAAGGGGGCGACCACCATCCCG